ACGACTAATTTTTGAGAAAAAAAATAATAAAGTAAACACTTCCCCGTTCAACAACGGGGTTGTCGATCAAAAGTTGAAATGAATTTTTAATGAAAATATCTTAGTAGGCTTTGCAATCTTTGTCAGAAATATTTTTGACAAAGATTGCTAAGCCTGCTAAGATTTTTTCTTTAAAAATTCATTTCAACTTTCGATTAACAACACTACAGCTTAACAGTTAGTGTTTGCTTAATTAATTTTTTTCTCAGAAACTATTAACTTTTCGAAGAACATCAGAGAGGCAAAAAAGTTTTAGAATATTTTCGTCTATCTAAATAAAATATTTCCAATGTATTTATCATCGTCATAAAAAAGATCTAGACAAAAATTGAACGGGGGTGGTTATGTTTAGTAACTTAGAAGAGAAGATTGAAAGTACAAATAGGCTTGAAACATGCCCTATTATAAGCTAAACATATTTCCCAAATTTCATTTTCTTGGTGTTAATGGTTTTCGGGAAAAAAAAATAAACCAAAATTTTTCGCCATTTTTGAAGGGGCGTAGCTCCGCAGGGGAGTCGAAATCGCTGATAGTTTATATGAGAAAGTACCCTTAAAATTGCCTAAAGAATCACCCCCTGAAGTTTGGGCACGTTATTCAGATACACCCTGTATAAAAGTTTTTTTTAAGTCAAGAAAACTAAAAAAAGGTCATAAAGAGACACGCATGATAGAATCGCACCGACCAAGAACCGAATAGAAAGCAGTAACATATTGATCAACATAAGCGATTATTACACGAATCGTCTTCCATACAAATATAAAACCATCATAATCTGTGCAATCAAACTACCAAGTAAACTATTGATATCTTCTTGGACAATAAGTTAATTGAAAGAAACGGTGAATTCTAATCCAGAATAATGCGCATCTAATCAACTGAAATCAAAAACCACGTAAACATGATCGATGCTACCACAAGATTAAGTTCGTATCCGAGAAGTATTCATGTATAGTTTAGTCCAACAATTACATATTATTTCCTCCTCTCACTGGTTCTGTGAAAGGATCATTCATAGTTAAGCTTTTAACAAAACATAAAATCAGCAAAATCCAATGGTAAAGTTGTGTTGCCAAGAAAACCCGTATATCCTGGTGTCTTAAATGATTTAATAATTTGATTTATTAAATCTGCAAATTCGATGCTGATCAAAAAGTTTGTTTTCACATTTGGAAAAGTGTCATGGAAATGTAGTTTATACATCATCAGAAATTTAAAATGGATTAGTAGTATGGCGACTTTATTACAGAGAAAACCTTGGTTTTTCTAAGAAACAATGAAGTTCACTTTCAAAAGTCTTTGATAGTGATTGAAATGGCGGTTGAATGAGGAACAGAGCATGTTGCAGGAGAGAGGCCAAGATATTTCCACTTTTTGCCTATTCCCGTTGATAGCAGTGATATTACCAAGACGGAAATGACAGTCGCCGTTGTGGTTTCTGGATTTTCTCCAACCGTACACATCCTAAGTTTCAGACTCTTCCTCTATTGTTGAAAGTACAAGTTCTAAACACTATGTTCGGGGAAATAATTTGAAACTACAATAAAAGTTTTTGATCCTCATGCGAAAGTATTTCTCGAAACATTTCTTCTTAAAATTCCTGAATAGTGCCGGATTGACTGAGTAATGTGCTCGCTTAGAATAGTTTTTGTGATATGTATATTCCTGGGTATACAGTATCGTTGTTAGTATATAGGTGTTAGCAGCGGACTAAATTTGATATCGATAGTTCCGTTACTGCGTTCTTTTGTGCAAAATAGTTATTTATCTTTGCTGCGTTAGACATCTGCTTTTCTCTTCGGTTGTTTAACACTTTCACAACCCGCGTTAAAAGAAAGATATAATTAACATAGGTCCTTTTTGTAAGATATATTTTGATGTGGTTTCATCCGTAGAAATTTTTTATTTTCTAAAACATCAGTCAAGATTACTTTATACGGGCTTGTTCTGTGGGTAGAACCTTTTTTGCAGGCATCCTGAGGTGTACTATTGACATGGATTAGAATTTTATCAAAAGTTTAACATAAATAATGCTGTCAAAAAACAACTTATGATAACTAAAATCTCTATATTTTGGATTAACTTGCTCCATACCATAGAGAACGTAGAAGTCGATATTTCAATTGGCAGGATTTTATGTACAAACTTCTCACAACTATATTTCATCATTTTTGCATTCGAAGTCTCGAATCAAAATATTGTTTTATTTTTTGCCACAAAATCTATGAAGTAAAAAAATTATAATGGCCACCTCTAGGGGAACGTTATTGTTTGTTTAATAGTCTTGTTATAAGTCAAATCTAGATTTTTTTAAGCACTAAGACCCATTGGTATAACCGCTGAATATTTTGGCCACTCCATTCAACAAAAAATCATTAAAATTGATGGTTTAGTTATCGTGGTATCCCCCTTGTTAAACCCGAAATACAGGTTGCGAACAAATATCTCGACTAGTTGTAAAAAAAAATGTAATGGAAATAATTTTAAGTCCGACACTAACTTAGGGTTGGTTTAAAAAATTAATTTTGCATTCAAGGTATGTTTTTATTTTTCTTGTACAGGTTTCGAACGGTGAAGACCATCATCTGGAGAATCGTTGTCATCCATTGTGTGACCCAAGAACTCTCGATAAAAAGTTGTGCAAGTTGTGCTAAATTAGGTTTTTATTGAAATAAAATTTATTAAAAATCACGTTGGAAAGATTCCAATTGACACAAAAGCCAAATGGGCAAACCAAATTCATCCTTATAAATCAACTTCAAAACTAAAATGAGATTTGTTAGGTATCGAAATTTCGAAATTTTCATTCAATAGAAAGGCTAAATTATTCACAACTGATAAGAATTAAAAAAATATCTAGATAGATATCTATCTAATTTTTTTAATTATCAAACAAAGACGATTTTTATAAAATAAAAATCACGTGAAATCGATTAAAATTTATCCAGACTCAATTCACCAATTTGAATGATTGATCCAAATATATCCGTCCCAAATACCGACGCCTTAACCTCTCTCGATGACCCATTGACCCGTGGCGTCCTCACATCGTCGGTACATTTAAATGCAAATTATCCTTTGTCCGACGCCACAAGGACCTGCTGCTGTTCTTCTGTACTTTAATCACCGCTTGTTATGGCGCCTCAAAATTGTTGAGAAACCGTCTGAAATTTTTGTTATGATTTCGACCACGTTTTCAGCGATAAGATAAAAACATTGAGGAAATACAAAGATTGAACTATTTATACATATTTATTTACGTTATATATTTATTTTGCAAATACGTGAACTAAATTTTAATTTAGATTGAAACTTTAGAAAGCTAAAAGCTACTACAAGTCGAAGTGAGTGAGCAATTGCCGTTGAACTTAGCCTCAATGACGTTTCTGGTAACTGGGACGGTGGTTTCGAGAACTTTCGTTTCGCCTATAACTAAAGCCGTTTATAATACCAATTTTCAAACAACTTTAACAAGAAATAATCGAACCAAACGGAAAAGCTTTTTATTTTAAACGCTTTAAGTACTTCAAATTACGTAGGAATGAATATTATCGGTTTGCCCAGGAACACGTGACATCGACCCGAAGACTAGCGGAAGTTGCGTACATACGCCACAAGCAACGACCGATTTAAATAGACGATGTGTGAAAATGGTTATGAGGAAATATGCAGGTAGATCGGGAATTAATGATGACGGAAGAATTTATTTATGAATCTCTGAATGGGTGGTAATGAAACGGTTTTAAATGTAATAAGTACGGTGAAATTGTAGTCTTGGTGTGTGGCTAATAAAAAACTTCCCGGTCGTTAACCCGCACGTCAAATAAGTGTTTGATGGAGTTGAAACCTCATGACCTCGTCCGAATCTAACAATCGTAATCTATTTTAATTTAATAAATAGTATTATCTGATTTTTTGTAATAAATTTTTTAAAAAATCTGATAAAATTAAATACACTTTGATATAACGGATTAATACGGGAAAAGGAGTGTCTGTGATATGAAAAATTTTTTAATTTGCACTTTAAACTGTTTGAATGAATAATTTTAATGCATACAAATTCGAACAGCAAATCTACAACGTTGTGTTCTTTATTAGTTAACTCTAGTTTTAGTTCAATAAAAAATATACAACAATCTAGTGCTGAATAACAACTAAAACTAGAACTAACACTAGAACTAGAAACATTCGGGATTAGCCGTCTTAACAGACGTGCGGCTAAACCCGAATGATTCTAGTTCTAAGACTAGTGTTAGTTTTCGTTGAATAAGAACATATCTAACGCTGAATAACGATTAAAACTAGAACTAACACTAGATCTAGAACTCGAAACTTTCTAGTTGTAGGTCTAGTGTTAGTTCTAGTTTTAGTTCAATAAAAAATATACAACAACCTAACGTAGAATAACAAGTAAAACTAGAACTAACATTAGCATTAGACCTAACACTAGATCTAGTACTAGAAACATTCGGGTTTAGCCGTCTTAAGAGACGTATGGCTAAACCTGAATGATTCTAGTTCTAGGTCGTGTTAATTCTAGTTTCCAAAAAAATTAATTAATCCAATAAAAATATACAGCAATCTAACGCTGAATAGCAATTAAAACGAGAACATAGAATTAGAATGTTTCGGACTTATCAGTGCGTCTTCAGATGCAGGCTAATCGAGGAATCTTGTAAAACTTAAGTTTTGATCAATCAATTCAAGTTAGGTTCATTTTTGATTTAAAATTAAATATTTTAAATATTTATTAAATATTTTGTAAGCAGACCGAAAAGTTTAGAAACTTAAAATAAAATTGACGAGTTACTACAAATTTAAACTCAACCCAAGATATATATAAATAGAAAGTCAGAAAACTAAAATTCCAGTATCTTTTCTTGATAATTATCTTTTCCAATTAAAAAGTATTTGGTTCAAAGAGAAATTAAAAATTAAAGAAAAAATAAAAGATAACTTACTTGCTGGAGTATTAAAGACTGGATTATTTTCAAAATTCGCAAATGATGGTTGTTGTGGTTGCTGTTGTTGATAATGTTGTTGATCTTCTAAAAATCTTTTACCGTTACTAATAACATTATTATTAGTAGCATTGAAGATGTCGGCTTGATCGAAATTTGCAACAAACTGTTCTTGTTTTCCCAATGCAACAATTCCAACAAACCCATTATTATTATTTACCCCATTTCCATTAACGATCGGCCTCGAGATACCGTTCGGCCTCGGCAACAAATTCTTTTCGTTCTTCTCGGCAACCATTCCGTTTAACCTGATCGGCTTCGATTCCGAAACAAAACTACTACTACTACTGTTGAGAGTCGACGGTTTTACGCGTTGTGAAGAGCCACCGCCGTTTGCTAACGTAGCAGCCGTGGCTGGCTCCACATAATATCTCCTCCTCTCATATTTTTCTACCATAAGGTCGTGCACGTGCTGTTCATCTCTAGGGGCACCTTCCGTCAACGGTTGTCCCTCATACAAACCCAACCACGTGCGTCTACAATATTCGTTACCTTTTTGTTGCATTAATTCTATTTCTTCTGGAGTGAACGTTGCCATTGAAATCGATTTTACACGATGCGGGGGCGTCAATCCACGTCTGAAAATTATACAAGAAAGGGACCGATTAGATTTCTAGTGAAATGGTGTCAGTTTGTACATGGAACTGTTTTTTTTGAATAGTGACGTCAATAAATGTTATTATAAATTTGTTTTTGAAGTCGATCTTATAAATACATTTTAGACAGAAAAAAATATATTAAAAATTAACAATTAAAACTGCTTCATTATTATTCCTAATTAACGAATATAACCAAAATTGATAAGATAACTTATCAAATAAACATACCGATATAATAACCTTTGTTTTAACACGTAACATTGCATATTTACATTGTCATAAAATCTTGCCTAATTTATAATAACAAGAAAAAGTAACAACAAACTCGTTTAAATACCCCATTTTCAATATTCCTGTAACACTTTCTCCATTTCAAAGACAACCTTAAAGAAAGCGACAATAAAATGTACCCATTCTTGTTTAAAATATGAAAGCTGAGTCCAAAAATAGAAGCATAAACAAATGTTTTAACTGCGTATAAATTATTGTCGCACCAAAATCGGGTTTGAAAGTAAAATTTTTTGAAGTCTTTATTGATTTACACTTTAGGAAGTTTGCATGTTTTTAATGAGGTCAAGTGGAAAAGCGTGGATTGGCATAAAAGATGTTTAAACACTGTAGAATGACGACACCTGCATATTGTCGCTGAATCACGCACGTCACCGTCGCTATCTATCTATGGCTAAAATAGTCACTTCCTTTATTCTATATTCGTTGGAGATGAATGCCGAGAGTTACACAGTCACAGCTAGAGATTATTTCAAAACATAAAACCCCGTCTCGTTCTGTAAATCTCATTTACAATTCGAATAGACACGAAAAGTATTGTTTTAAATTTTTGTAACGATCACTCAACACCAACGAATATAAAAAAAAAACTTTAACGTGATTTTCACAATAACAACTCTAAAACCTAAAAATAAAAGCCGTGTATTTTATATACACAAACCGCACACGTTTATATGTGCAAATCGATTTCTGCGATAGCAAATCTCTCTCTGTGAGGATTTATTTTTACACCTTTTGCAGAGGCCAATTACATAATCAGATTTAGCAGACAGATTACTTCTCTTGTAAGCGCGTGCGTAATTTTATTCGTTAATAAAAATCAACAAAGAGGTCGTCTCTTTACGGTTAAGTTGATTTTGCACGGGCCGTAAAACAAATAATGAGAATCTCTTCAACAGATGGAAAGCGATCATCAGCAAATACACAATTTAATTTCAAATACTAATAGTAGCACCTTTTCACTGGTGATTTCATTCGCTAGACGACGCGGTTGAAACCGTGACATTGAACGTTAATACACTAATTAAGAGAGATTACTGCTGGCTGTTTGAACCTTTTAAAGTTTAACTCCAGACGATGAGATGGATAGATTATTTTCGACGTAGTATCTTCTTTATTTATTGTTCTTTTTTATTAAACGTATTTTTTTAAAACATTCATTGGATCTCAAAAGATTAATATGAGGAATGTACTAGATTCAATCGCATTTTACTCAAAATAACTTCCTTGACAAGCTATGGTTTAAGTCGGTTACTAGAGCACTTCAGCTGTGAGGATACATCTGATACAAGTGGTATTTATGGAAGAGAAAAAGTCGCAAAGACACAAGTCAAGGGAACCGAGGAGCCATATAAATGTGTTTACTAATCAAAAAATCGTTTATTGAAATTGTAGTATGTCAACGCGCATTGCGGTGATGTAACAGCTATTCGTTCTTGATGCTTGGTCTCACACATGACCCTTTTTCATAGTCTATCAAGAACTCGGTAAATGTGTTAATTAATCGTTTGGCCTTGAAGTACAAACTCTGTACATGATTCTCCCGGTAACGAAAATGTCAGTATGAATTTGATTTTGGTCTTGGAGAAATTGAAGTGTGACATTTTGTGCCTTTTTGTTCATTCTGGCTGATATTTTGCAAATTTTCAATATTTTAGATCCAATATTTTGCAAGTTAATCAATATGTGTTTAATAGGTCAATAGTTCTAAAATAAATTAGTACTAAATGGTAAATAAACATTTATTTACTTAAAAAGTATTATTACATTAAATAATTTATGACGTGTTAAGTATTTTTATTGAAAGTGTAAATATTCCTGCTTTTTCCATTCCCGACGATTACGTAAATCTGAACAAAGCATGATGAAACAGGTCTTTTTACACCTGTTGCCATCCTGCAGCGACACTAAATATTGTCACCCAATATCTGTCATATTTGAAATACAGAATTGTACATAAGACTTTCATTATAAAGTTACAATTCCTCATAGAATCCCAGCAGTATCAGCAATAGGGTTAGAATCTCTGCATCTATATAATTTCAGCTCCTGCAATGTTTCTGGATACTGATCGTGAGGTACCCCACGATTGGAAACTCAATTAAAAAAAATCTCCAAGACCTTCGAAATAAAGCAAGACCTGAGACCAGGAGATTCACTGTCAGGCTTACTCTTTAATCTCGCACTGGAAAAGGCGATCCGAGAAATTGAAATAAGAAGGGGCAGCACGATCTTTTATAGATCGTAACAACTACCGAGATACACCGATGTTATAGATATTATAATTAGCAGTAAATGAGACGTGAAGGAATTTTTCATCGTACTGGAACAAGCTGCAAAGAGAGTCGGCATGACTTTTAACCAGGAGAAGTCGCAAAGAGGTGTCTTTATGATCATCTAAGACACTTCTACTCACGAACCCTTATCCGCAGGGGTAGTTTGAGCCAAAACGCTGAACGAACACTGGGCCACTTTGAACACAAGATCACAAAAAGATTTTCAAATCCGTGATCTAACAGGGCCAGTGGTGCAGAAGATATAATTTTCAACTACATATATTGTCAGAACTATATTGATAAGTCGCTTGTAGCATCGTAGAGTAAGTGTAATGTGTATCTTATGTCAAAATCGGAAGTCACCAAGAAAGTCACGACAAGTAATCCGGAGGGAAAAAGAAATAGAGGCCGCTCCTGGCGCGTTGGATGGATGATGTCGAGGATGACCTCAAGACCCTGTAGGTGTCCAAATGGTGGAAGGTGCTAGAGATCGCGCAGAATGAAAGAGATTTTTGGAGCGTTGCAGGATCCATAATAAACTGTCATGCTGCTGATGATGAAAAATATTTAACTGGAGATCATTTGTGTCACACTAAAAAACACTAACAATGAGATATAATAACAATGTTTCTGCCGAGCTGAGTAAAGCTGAGCGAACACCCAGTAAAGGACGACATTACTCAGCAAATCTAAACGATAAAAAATACGAATAATACTGGTTCATTTAGCATCGTTTAAAAAGAAATATGTTATATACGATATTTTTGATTTGATAATTAACTCAACGAAATAATAGCGACAAAATAATTTTATAAAATAATCTGTTACTAATAAGACACAATAAACAACGTACGCGTATTTTGATTTAATAGTTTTAAAATATTCTAACCTTGCCAATGTCTATTTTTGTTAGTTTACAGTAACGTTCATTAGTAAATGTAGATCCATCTCGGACTTAATACGTAATTCAAGTCCAATACCAAATTAACATTTATTATAATAGGTCTTTAAATGTGACCCTCAAAAGGGCTGTTACCATATGATGCCCTCAAGAAGATTATTTTTTCACTGTCGGCTATGCTGACGACCTTTCAAGTGTAAATGGTGTTATTTAGGTAGCAGTCAATATAATTGAGAACTAGTATTACAGATGGAGATTCTTAATTCTTCACTGTGTTTGTCAAAAGTACGTAAACATCTAAATAGAAACTGTGTTGCATATGTCGTGGAGACTACCCACAATAGCGGCTATGGAAATCATACTGAACCATCCACCTTTAAAATGTCACATTTAACACTGCAGTAGTCGCGCCTCCGGTTATTACAAGAGTGGGCTTATGTCATCTCTAAGATGATTATTCAATGCATGCAAAAGTATTAACTGGTTAGTCCAGACAGACTGTCTACATCATCTCTTGGATGACATGCGACTATTGGAGTGCTAAGAGGTGGCGTATGTTTTCACGTTACAACTTATATAGGATTAACGGAGAGATTCTCTATAAAAATGGAGCACTCTAAAGTGAAGCAGTAGAAAGCACACTTCTACTGAAGTATGTCACAGACTATACGACGGTTGAAAATAACACTTTAACATCTACACTGGTGAATCAAATATACAAACTGATGCAGGAGTCTTCTGTTGTGATCGTTAGCTTCAACTTCAAAGGTAGACAACCTGTTTTAGATTTAAGTAGGGAAAATATTACCTCTAAGTTGATTATGAACTGCCATTTAAGACTTGAAAAGGTCGACACAAGAGGATAGAGCGAAACACGTCTTTCTCGTGAAATAAACACACCCACAGGAAAAGGAGCTGCCAGAAGAAGGCTTTGTTGATTAACACGAAGTGTATCGTCTTTAGTATCTCATATTAATATCATCAAAAATCTAATACTCATAGTTTTTAGATTGATGGGATTGCGAGTTGCCAAGATATGGAGGAAATAAGTTTATGACAAAAATTATATCTATTAAAGATGTATACAAGTAAAAAATATTCTTTGTACAATACTACGAAGATCTGGAACATATGAGTAGAAAGCTGATAGAGGTATATGATATGTGGAGACTCGAGGCAAACCTCGAAAAAACGCTGTATATGTGTGTAGGAGGACAGAACAGGGATCTTAGAAAACGGCAAACAAATCAAAAAATGTACAACACACAAGTATCTGGGAATCTCAATTACGAATGACGGAATCCTAGACATAGCAATTAAAGAAACACTTTAAGAAGGTAGGCAATAAAGATAACGAATAACATAATATGGGATTACAAAATATTAAAACTAAACAAGCAGAGGATATACAACACAATCATAAAAAGTATAATCTCATATGGAAGCGAAGTATGACCATGGAAACGAAAAACGGAAAAATATCTAGCCGCAGAGTTATTGTGGAAGGAATCCGG